GAGATAGAGTCAGATGGGTTCCAAATTGGTAGGTCTGGGCATCGAAGCTCACATTTTTCGCCTCTTGCATTCGGCACATGCATGTGGGGTGGTGATTCGCTTAGAGCCCGTCGAGCCAGGTGTTTTCCCGTTGTCTTGGGGCTCATTTGAGGGTTTTCGCGGCGTGACGCCCTGAACTGAGGTACGCGGCTTGAGCAACGATCTAGAGGGAACGGGTGTGAACGTATGCTGAACATGTACTTACAAGTATGGAACATGCCACCTTGGTTGGGAACCGGAATTGAAGGCGCCATGCTCACCGCCGGCGACAAATGCTTCTTGCTTTGGAGTATCAGATGCAAGGAGGCCGCTCAGCTTGAGGGCCGCGAGCAGAGGCAAAGAGAAAAACCCCGAGATAGCAAGTAGTACAGCTCTGGGAGACCTGCCTCGGTCGTTGCCTGCCGAGGGAGTAACAGGTTCGTTTGTGTTGAGTGAAGGCACTGGATGAATGGTTGAATCATGTCGGTTGAACCCAAATCTTATATATCTACAAGAGAGGCTAGTCGAGGAAAACCGGAAGACGCACGAGAAGTCCGGCAGCTATTCAGAGGACCGCCAGATCAGCAACATTGGGTGTGGAGAAGGTTGTCAGGGGTATATGTGAGCATGTATGACGAAGAAGGGCGATGGAACATTAATGCCGTGTCGGCTGGCCGGGCTGGGGCGAGTAAACCAAGCCTTAGAGGTGAACCTGGACGAACTGGCTTGTGGGAGGCACCCTTCGGGGGTTAGCCGGGGTGGAAGAAGATGGGGACGGGACAGGGATTAACCTAAGCCAATGTTAGCTGGGCCAGCCGAAGCGGTTGAATGCTGTGTATTTGTTCCGGAACAGCGACGATGTGTGCCCATGTCGTAGGGGGACGATCCACCTTTGAAGAGTGTGCGGTAGCCATCGAGGTGGGTTGAAATGGTGGTGTGTTGTTACCAGGTCTGGTCGCCCAAGATGCTGGGCTATTCTCTTGTGAAGGCTGGCTGTGATGGCACAAAGCGCATGTACGATATTTGGCATCGCCCGTCTTGAGTCGCTGAGATCAGGAACAAGTTCAAGCAATACGGCGGTATTCACGCAAAAGAAGGTGGTACGGGTCGTACGGATCCATGAATACGATTGGGTATGGCTGTGAGTGTTTAATATCAGATGCGGAGAAGAAGGGTACGTATGTGTAGAAAATGTGGTTGGGTCCCACTCGATGGAAAGTCGGAAAGTCGGTTGAAGAGCTGATTGGGGCTTGGAAACCTGGAGAAGTTGGAGCAGGGACGAACATTCGTTCGCATGACCAGCCGTGTGAGGGGCAATAGACACCCAAAAAAAAAAAAAAAAAAAAAAAAAAGGGAAAAAAGAGGGTGTTTGGAAGGACATGAAAGGGACTCCAACCCAGGAAAAGCAACAGCCACTTGGAGAGGGGGTGGTAAGGTGATACTGAGGGGGATCTCAGGCAGGCTACCTTAGGTACCTACCTGACCTACCGTTCCCGATGGCACCGGCGATGCGATGTGATGAATTTGCCCACGACAGCCGTTAACCATTCACTGGTGGGGAAATCTCAATCAAACGGGGCCGTGGCCCTTGGGGCGGAACACCACGACGACACAGGTACGGCCCACGGATACCTGTGCTTGATTAAGGTCAGGCTGCCCCACACTTTCCGCCGTCCGAAGTGAAGTACGGATACCTAAAGTACCTTAGGTAAGGCACCCTACGCTGAGCGCCGACGGGACCTCGGGACCTGACGGGACCTGACTTACCTGGTGAGGTTCTCCAGGCACTATGTATTTCCGTCCCTCCACTTCCTCCATAAGGTACGTAGAGCCGGGTCCCGCCTCAATTCCTGCATCTCTCCAATATTTTGCCACACCTCAGTCTCGCGATAGCCAGCAGGACCGCGCCGCCGATCCAGGGTAGACCCCAGCGATGCCCCTGCTTCTCCAAACCACCCCACAACCTAAAGGTTAATGAAGAAAACGAACGATTGACAGAACAGATCATCTACTATCCACGGAGACATGAAGGGTAGGGTGTCAAGACCAAAGAAGAAGAAAATAAAAAGTGCCAATTCGAAATTACCCTCAGACACATCAAAACCACAAGCAGCCCATAATCGCGGCTGTGCACGATTGTCCAACTAAGATCCTCCACAACGGAGAAACGGCCCTGCCCTGCTGCAACCACCCGGGACGCATAATATCCCATCCAGTAGCGAATCTCGTTGACCACACTGGCGAACACACAAATGAAGCGGCCCATGATCCCGCCGCGTCTTCCTGTTCACTTCAACTAAGGTACCCCGGGAATTGCGAACTCTGCCGGCCGTCCCATGACCCATTCTCTCCTTCCATAGTATCCACCCCCATTGGCACAAGCTGTTTCTCTCCCGGTTTTGTCCCCCCAATTACTTCCTCTTAGCGCCCCTGCGTCCCTGCACTTCACATCACAGATGTGCAGGAGCAGATTTAAGTGCTCGGCTACGAGATGTGGCGAACAATGCTCGGAGAACCCACGTTGCATGCAAGGAACATCAGGTAGGTATCCGTAGTACAGATGCCTCACCTGTCTTCTGCGCATAGATTGCCTGGTCGACACGTTGGCTGGCAACCCTGCAACGCCGTCATCTTCAACGAGATGGGAAAATTGTGCCTGGCCTGGAACTTCTCCCGGCGAACCGCGCCGTGACCATTACCATGCACACCTACAGAGAGACACACACGCACATACCCCAGCTTTTCCTCTGCCGCCCGCTATCCGCTAACGGGAGGCAATTGCCTGAAGTTAATCGACTGCCCTCCTTTACCCGGCAGATGATCCAATGCACCTCTTTCACATGCGGTCTAGCAGACAGACAGTAACAGCCGTCAAACAGCGCGTAGGCGTGCTCAACCGGCTACATCTCTCGCTTCTGCGCCCGAGTGGTCATGTGTTAATGTGCATCCGCCCGTTCCTGATCCTCGGTCTGGAACAACAGCGTTGTCAGTCAGACTCAATGCGTAAAGTTGAATGGTGAATGGTGAATGGTGAATGGGGTTGCGTTATGTCTCGACGTTGCATCGTGCGACGACTGCCCGATTACCTCCCCACATCCTCGCGTCTTTCGGTCGACTTGGGAAGGAGACAAGCATATTTCCATGCAAATGTTGGCTACCATGGCTGGGCAGACTCGGCCAGCTGCTGATGCTCCGTGGAAGTCTACACGTCCTGTCGTTCAGTCTGTGAGCTTGTTTGTCCACGGCCCCAGCCCTAATGCTGTCCATATGCATTCATTCTTCATCTTCCTCAGCCCTCCCCTACGGCTTCTGCCTCTTCTCTCTCCCCATCTACCCTTCACATAGCGGTAACTCTACAGGCTCAGAGCGCGGATATTATTGGAGGCCGTGTTGCTAGACGTGTTTCTCGGCAGATGCTGCGAACTCCATACCGCAACATCCGTTAAATCTTGAACGGTGTCGATGATGTCAACAAAGTAACGGGGCACCACCAAGCGACTCACAAGGCTGTGTCCGTAATACCTCGTTAATGGCGGGGTGAAATATGCGCATTCCACGCAGACTTCACACAGGGGTCTAGCGACTATCAAAAGTTGATGTTCAATTCCACATGCCCCATGTCAAGAGGTTCTGGTTAATACTGGTCATTGGACCTAACGACCCGTCTGAATCTCTTCTCCTTCCCTAGCTGCATCCTTCCTGTGAGAATGAAAAGTCACGGGTGGTCAGGACAGGGGTATATGTATGTCTGCGCGCGAATGAGCTTTGGCTTGCTGGATTCAAAGGTACCTATGCATTGTTGCAACTAATAGCTTGATCTGACACTGACAAATTTCCTTTTGGTGGCATCTGGAATAATTAAGATCACTTTGCAGTCTCCATTCTCAAGACGGCTTAAGCTCACAAGACCCAAGCAACAGCGTCGACCGCGGAGATTTTGCATGTCTATGACACTGCCCATCACTCCGGGAGACTCGTTTGTACCTATCGCAAGGCACTCGAAGTCAACGTACCCCGCCCGTTTGAGAACCCATGGGATAGGAGGTAGCCCTCAAGTTGTTGGAACGATATCTTGCAGAGGGCATTAGGTGGTCAGCACGGCTAGCATGGGGCAACGATGACAAGACGGTTTGGCGCCCGTCGGGCATTTTCACTTTTCCCTCTTCGTTCCTAGAGACTTAGACCGGAGGTTGTTGCTGGGCGTGGGATGCATCCCCTCTGCTTGCCCACTTGGTCTCCATCGTCAGCAGCAGAACAAAACTCGTCACTGGGTGCCCTTTAAAGCCAAACGGTATAGGGTTGCTAACTTGAAAATTGGGATTCTGACAATACCTGCACGGAACCTAACTGTGCGTAATAAATCGCAAGTATGTGAACGACACACATTGTGTGAGGCCTGCCATTCAAGTTACAAACTCATATCTCACGGGAAAGCCGCTATTCGACTCCCAACTCTAAGCCCCCTTCACAGTCACATTCTCAGAAACGACACTCACACCTCTCTACTAGACCATACGTCCGAACCCCGGCAGTATTGATGCCCTTTGCGCCGGCCGAGCACACCATCCCCCAGCGTTCCACCCAAATCCTGACTGCAAGGGACTGCGGTCCGACGAGATCCACGTCCTTCCCCAGGCCCCCCACACGCTCAACCGGGTCTTTCGAATTAGTTGTTGAAGGGTTGCATTCCCCTACCCTGCACAACAGTTTTGTGCACCACACATGCAAGAGTGCCGTCTTCACGCCGAGCCCAGAAGCCTAAATATCTCAGCGACCAGGGTTTTTCTCACACTACTAGTTGGACGTTCCCCAGAGGACCCTTCCCTCCGAGATCTGCAAGCCCGACGCTGAAGTCCATAGGGAGATTGTGCACGTTTTCGTCTACCCTTCCAAATGCATGTATGCCGGTCGAAGGGTGCCATTGATTGCGATGCGTGCTGAAGTGGCAAGGGAGGTCGGCAGAGTGGAAAGCTTTCCCGGGTCTAGAAGCGAAGTACCTGGGTCCGGCTCCCAATGCCGTCGAATATGCACGTGTTCTCTATTGGGATGTACTGATTCGTGATTATCTTGATCGTCTCCTGGGCCACCATGCCGCCTGCCGTGGCGGAAACGTTGTGAAGTTCTCCGCCACGAGCACGGGACACCTCGTGAGCGGCTTCGATGACTCGTTTGTTGCCATCAGCATCTGGCAAGATTTTCTGGACGGATGCCATGATGTCATCCGGTGTGGCCGAAGATGTGTGAGATGTTGCATGGAGAGCAAGATATATTGGCAGAAGTGAAAGAGGCATCGGCATCGACGGGTCCTTAGCCAGCTCATCGTTGGCAAATTCCTGTTCTGTCGATGGTTCAGCTGTGGCACCTCTGAAGTAGACAACGGTGTTATACTTACGAGCTACGCTTCTTAGTTGGCCGTCCCCGTCAGTTGCGGGGATGATTAACTTGATGAAAGCGGCATTTTTGCAAAACATGTCAACTTCAGCTGGGTCAACGCTTTCGCCACAAGGATTTTGGCGAATAATGCTCAGAACCTCAGCGGCGTCCTTGCGAGCCTTGTCCTTGTAGATGTTTTGTAGCTTGATGTAGACGCTCGATTGGGCCTTCATGTCCGGAAGACCGCCGGGCAGCGGCAGACATTTGTGCTTCTCGTAGAAATTGCGAACTGCAGCAGCAATGACCCAGAAACTTGATGTTGATTCCAACTGTGACTAGGTGAGCACCGATTACTATGCGGTTTGTTCCGTACGTACCTCGTTATTGTGCTGGTACTCAAACACCTGCTTTACAGCACTGGGCAGGGATGGCTGCGAGATGGTTTTCAAGACCGCAGCGACAGCCTCTTCAAAGTTTTCCTCGCCACCTTCTGCGTTATCGACCCTGGCAGCGTTGGCCACCATCTTGCGGAACTCGACTTTCTCCTTATAGTTGGTGGGCGGCACGTCATCATGGGTTGATCTCCACACTTTGAGGTAATGTAAAAGAATCACTACGAACGGCAAGTGACCGTGCTCGTGGTTATCAAGGCCGTCGATATCCTTGGTCATGTTCTCGGCAAAAGCCGTCAGTTCTTCCCAAGGTGTCAGAAGACGCAAGTCCGTGGTGGCAGTTGCATCTGGGTGAGTGTCGACGATGGGGTAGACGCCAGGGAGACGTAGCCTGAAGTAAGCGTAAAACCCCACTGAGTGGATGGCGATGAGTGGCGTCTTGCGTTCTCGGCTGTAGGACTCGAGTGCGCTGAGATGTTCGGGTCTGATGGGCAGCGTATACAGGATGATTGTGAAAGGGCTGTCACTGCCTAGAACTTCTCCAAGTTCCAGGGTTTCCTGTTCCTGTAGTTGGCACATGAGCTCCTTGATATGGTTCATTCTGTGGTAGCTCACCGAGTTACGAGGATGCCAATCACCCTCCACTTCTGGGTTGAGCTCAAGAAGTAGCTCGGTGCAGCACTGTGCACGAGACTTACCCAGTGAGCTCTCGTCAAGGAAAAAGTTGACACCCAGATCAGCCTCAGTCACGGTAGTGTCGTCGGCGATGGTGAATTTTCCGATACCTGAGTTCGATCAGCTGCTCTTTTCGGCTCCAAAGAGGTATAGTCATATGATGCCTACCTGGGAGAACGAGATTCTTCAGTGTTTCTACGCCTATAGTTCCCGAGCCGGAGTTGACCAGCAGTACATTGGCTGACTCCAGAGCAGCCTGGCCACTGGCGGCCCATAATCTGAGCTGGCGATCATACTTCTTTTCCTTCTCTGAAGGAACAGAGAGGCAGGGCAGAGCTTGACCGGCGATGATATCAGTCATATTGGACTGTACGCCACAGAAGATCGAACGATTTGGGAGGGCTGTACGCTTAATGTAGTGACGCTAACAGACGGAACTTGAAGGCTGTGAAGACGTCCAGGTACCGTTGCCGCGAGATGTCTCCGCTGAGATGAGTAGAAAGCCGACTGAGCTCCGCTTGGTTGACCTGGCTGGGTGATGCGAAACCAATTCGAAGAAAAGCGTATGTGGTAATCCGAATGCACTTGCCTGCCTAAGGTAGCAGGGTAGGTAAGTAAGGTGTGGAGCGTTTGCTGAGGTAGTCACTAGTGTACAGAGTACCGTGAGAACCTTTACCTAAGGCAGGTAAGGCGAGGCACCTACCGGGCTCGGTACGTCCCAGAAAGACTGGTCAGGGAATGCTTACATAACAGCAATCCGAGCTGGACCTAAGGTAAGGTAAGGTAGTAAGGTAGGTACACTCGCCGACCCTGGTAGGTGGCCGTGCCGGGAGCTTGAGGTGGCTTCACTCTTTCGGAAGTATGGCAACTATCTTCCGGGCGTGACAGCGGGCCCAGGTCTCGTCCTGTCAGCTGCGTCTTCCACGAGTGCCATCTCGTCTATTCCAGACAGGAAATCAAGCTGAAATCGGGAAATAAGCAAAATGGACAGGTAAGTCAGACTTCATGTTCCCCTTCATTTTCGCTTTCGTGTCCGCTGGAGATTTTCTTGCCGCCCTTCACGTCCTGCTGTTGTCTCCATCCGTCCCCTTTTTTGCTTGCCCCTTGCAAGTGCCCCGACAGTACTGTTTAGCAGAGAGGGAGCTTGGGGGTGCATGGTCGTCGCAGCCGCTCTACTTGGTAGAGAATTTCGACTCACGCACCTTTCACCAGGCGCCCGATGCCACAGAGACACCGCCATCTCCATGAATGTCTTCTGCGCAAGAGCAATCATGTTCGCCTAGGTGGGAAGGTGTATCTTGTCGTCTTCACATCGATGCGGAATAGGTGCATACACGTTCAGATGCTGGCTGACACCGAAACAGAGCCGACTAGAACCTCCAGGGCTTCCGGGATATTGCCCAGGTATTGAGACGCTCAAACGAAACGTTATTCAACCTTCAGCCCGCATTTTCCATTTCTTCCTCGCGCATGCATGCCCACTAGGGCCTTTGCTTTGGTTGGCCCCCTTTTTGTTATGCCGGCGTTTGGTGCATCATCACCTTGCCAGCAGACACCGACCCCGATCTCCAATGACCTCCGACGCTAGGTTCGGTATTGAGGGCCGTGGACCACAAGAGTCGGCTTCCCCACAAGATGGCAAGAACGAGACCCGTGGTCGGATTCAAGGGAACCGATCACTGGCATGTTGCATTGGCTCAAGTCGACCGTGCCTGTCGCCCACATCCTCAACGGCGCGGCTCGAGGTCTTGACTACTTAGCATTCCTCATCTGTAATCAAAACATGCTGGCCCCGAGCGAGAACTACGAGACGCCGAAAGTAGTGACCGCCTGCAATCTTGACGACCTTCTTCTTCTTCCTCTTCTTCTGTTCCTCTCGGTTCGCTTTGCCCTTGCTTACACTGGCCTTGTGCCTTGTCTCACAACTGGTCTCAGTCTCTGGGGTCGGCGTGGCGCGCCGGCTCCACGCCGTCTTCGCCCACGGAATCAGCTTACGGCCGGCAGCGTCGGGCGAGAGACAAACGAATAGGGCCATGAGCCGCGAATTCAGACACACTAGGAGGTTGATTGCCCAGAGACGGTGGTTAAATTATGTGACTTGCCTCGGGGCGTAGTTCGGAGCTAGTGGATCAAATGCGAATGCATTCTGAACGCCGAACATGCTTTTTCGTGTGGTCCTGTTTCCATTTGTCGCTCCGAACGCCGACTCGTTCTTTCCTTGCATTCGGAAATGGCACCATCTATCTATTTGTCTTTTTAATCGCGGTTCTCCGTTGAGTCGTGTCTGCTCTGTCGTGTTTGCTCGCTCCTCGACGCGCCTCCCAAGCGCCATCCACTCGCTGTTCCGCCCATCTCAACGCCGCGGCATTCTTCACTATGAGTTGTGCTGTTCTGCCGCCAACCGCTATACCTGTTTATCACGAGTCGTCGTCGCCGCAAATGGTCCGAGCCAAAGGACCTACAGCCTGACGTTACGGTGCTGTCCTTTCCATCGGAGGTTACCCTGCCCTAGCACATTTGGCTTTCGTCTCTCTTGTTAGAAAGCTCCAAGCCTGCCGATGCTGTCGCCAAACGCCATATATATACCGCATATTATACTCACGATCGATCGACAAGCTTTCCTTATCAGAACACTCAAACGCTCTATCGGACGGCCTGTCAGGCAAGCCTGAGATCACTGTCACTTAGGTAGCGATGGGTCACTTGAGGGGCGATGTCGAGACCACCAAGGCGGAGACGTTGCCGAGGCATCAATATCGCGATGCCTCCCTGCCAGCATGGAGATTTTGGTTACTGAGTGTCGGGTGTGTAACTTTCGTCCGCATCGCCTGTGTCTCCAGTACTGATCAAGAGCTAGACTTTGCCTTGGCCTTTTTCTGTCCATGTTGGACTCTTCTATTGTTGCCACGAGTCTGTATACGATCGGCGCAGAATTTGAATCCATGGGTCTCATCAACTGGGTCGCGTTGGCTTACACGCTCACCTATCTGAGTTGTGCAGTACTGTTTGCTCGAGTCTCCGATGTTGTCGGGCGCCGTAATGCTTTCTTGGCAAGCTTCGTCATCTTCTTCTGCTTCTCCCTTGGCTGCGGCTTTTCTCAGAACCTTGAGCAGTTGATCGCATGCCGCGCACTACAAGGCCTAGGCGGCTCTGGTATGCTGAACACATTGTATTCTCACCGGAAAAGAAACTAAGTGACTGCAACAGGTTTATACTCCATTACTATGATCATATTCCCAGAGGTTAGCCCGAAGCATCTGCGCCAGCATATCGCCAGCCTCGTAGGAATGGTGATCGCTAGTGCTGGTGTTCTTGGACCCGTACTTGGCGGCATCTTAACGCATTACACCTCTTGGCGATGGATTTTCTGGATCAAGTAAGTCTACTCATAGTCATAACGGGCTGGTGCTAAATTGCTACTAGTGGTCCAGTTGGATTTGTATCCATGGTCGTTTTCTACTTGACTTGGCCCCAGGCTAAGCACCTGCCAAGTTTGCAACGTCGAACTTGGAAAGAACTAGACTTTGTTGGGTCCTTCCTCCTCGTGGCTGGCTCCGTGCTCGTTGTCTTCTCGTTTCAAAACGTTGGCTCGGATGGAGACAAGTGGCACCGGGCTATTTTCATAGTCCCAGTCACTGTAGGCGTCCTCTCCTTCATTGCCTTGGTGGGCTGGGAGACACTTGTAGCTCGGTTCTGGGACAAGCGCGTTATGGCGACAATTCCGATTCGACTGCTAAGAAACCACGTGTACGTCGCTGCTATGCTGCACACTATGTTTTTGGGATTTCCGTACCTGCTTGTTGTCTACGCCTTCCCTGTTCACCTACAGATCGTCAACAACAAAAGCTCCTTGCTCGCCGGCATACTTCTCCTGCCGATGCTAGGATCCGTCGCTCTAGGCAGTACTCTTGGCGGCCTGGTGAGCAAGAACAGAAACCTTCTCTTTGAGACTCTGTTCACCGCAAGTTGTTTCATGACGCTGGGGTGCGGACTGTTAACAACATTATCACCGTCGGTCGAGCTGGAGCCGAAGGCACTAGGCTTTTTAACCCTGATCGGCTTCGGATTTGGATTGTCAGCAACGTCGGCCACTATCCTTGGCACAACAGAATCCGAGATTCCGGACCATGGTAAGTGCCGCGTCAGCCCTGCACCTCTTCTATCTCCGTTTCTGACAGAGCACAGCTGCAGCCCAGGGAATCATCGCACAAGTCCGTATTCTCGGCGGTAGTCTAGGAATTGCGGCGTCGACGGCGATCTTAGGTACTCATATGAGAGAAGAGCTGGCAGGAGTCTTAGGACCAGACCAGTTGTCAACGATAACTGGAGCGGGGACGAGCCTGACGGAGGCGCAAGCTATGGCTGTCCGACAGGTGTACGCAGACTCATTCCAACAAGACATGAAGGTTGGCGCCATCTTATCAGGCGTGGCAATACTGATCAGCTTGGGAGCCTATCGCCGAAATCGGATTTCGATCGAAGAGCAGCGACAACTGCACATCAAGACAGAGATGGAGAGGAGAAGAAGGGCGTCGGCAGCGACGACGCTCGTGTCTTCAACAGATTGAATTTGGATAAGGCTGGCTGGTTTGCTTTTGGCGTACGATAGATGACACATAGATTGGCGAGCCCGGCGGCAACGCATGATGAATAGACATGACAATGAATTCTTTACTGTGGGTTTCCACACGCACTCTTCTGCTGATGAGCAGCGGGGGTCTTGGACTGCGGTGGCGGGGGAAGTAAAGGCCGCCAAGTTTGACGTTGCCTTGCACTCATCGTCCTATTAGTGGGCGTTTGGTGTGACGAGCAGCTTTAGAAGACAACACGCAATGTGGTATTGCCTGGCCCCTGAGTACCTGCGCCAAAGCGCGACGAAGTTCTCTTTACTCCTTTTCTGGTCGTTTACAACGGTGAAAATAAAACAAAAATAAAAATGGACGACCGTACCTAATATCTATAATAAATGCACACACCTCGGATAGAAATGATGCAATCGCGTTCCCCCGCCGGTTATCGGGCTGTTGAAACCCCGCATAGTGGGGCTTATCCATCCCGTCCGCCGTATCGTCTTATTCTACCATCTGCTTCCCCTCGCCTTATCCGTCTCTTGACAGTCGGAAACGTGCTAAGAATCATTCGTCCCTGAGGTTACACGCTGCCTTGGCCTAAGGGTTCAGATCAACATTTTAAAGTCGGCCCTTACTTTTAAGTCCCGAGTTGTGCAATCTCCCTTCCCTCCTCCTCTGGCTCTTACACATGAACCGCATAGTCTGCTCGCTGTCTTCTACGCTCTGCTCTCGTCAACACCTTCGTCTATCGCCCACCTTCCAGACCATCTTTAACAAGAGCCACATCAGAACCATCATGTCTGCCACCGCTGCCGCCAGACGCCTTGAGGGCAAGACGGTGCTTATCACTGGCGCCTCCAGTGGTATTGGAAAGAGCACTGCCTTTGAATACGCGCGGACGTCGCCTAATAACCTGAAACTCATTCTCACAGCCCGTCGTATCGACAGTTTGAAAGAGATCGCCGCAAAGATCAATGAGGAAGTCGGAAATGGCGTCAAGATTCATCCTGTCAAATTGGACGTGAGCAACCCGGAGGAGGTCCGCCAGCTTGTGGCCAACCTACCAGAGGATTTCAAGGACATCAGCATCCTGGTGAACAACGCGTAAGTCCCCACCCATGATATTTTAACAGCCTTCCCCATGGTCCTCGCGGTTGCAGTCATTGAGTGAGACTGATGTTGGCATGCAGAGGTCTCGTCAAGGGCGTCGCAAAAGCCCCTGAAATTGCCGAGGAAGACATCAATATCATGTTCGCAACCAACGTCACTGGTCTTATCAATATTACCCAGGCCATCCTGCCCATTTTCAAGTCGAGGCCCGACGGTGGCGCCGGTGACATTATTAACATTGGCTCTATTGCCGGTATATAGAACTGTTCCATGGGGTTGAGAACTTCATTGACGTAAAACCACAGGTCGCGAGCCCTACCCGGGTGGTTCTATTTACTGTGCCACCAAGGCTGCTGTGCGTAGCTTTACGGACAGCCTGAGAAAGGAGCTCATTGCCACTCGCATCCGCGTCATCGAAATCGATCCCGGACAGGTTGAGACCGTACGTCCCCGACTCAAGGCGGAACGCCAAATGCCTGCCGGCTCCTATTCTAACCCAAACTTAGGAATTCTCCGTCGTCCGCTTCTATGGTGACAAGTCCAAGGCCGACGCCGTCTACGCGTAAGTGAATAGCCTCGGAGTCCCCACGGCTTTCGTCGATGTTCTTTCCAAACATCTCAGACGCTCCCCCATCTGGAGTTGGTATAGACTGAGCTGACGATCGCCTGGTCACAGCGGCTGCGAGCCCCTGACTCCCGACGACATTGCCGAAGTAGTCGTTTTTACCAGCACGCGCCGGGAGAACGTGGTTGTGGCAGACACCCTCATCTTTCCCCAGCACCAAGTAAGTCAATCAATGAAGGCAAATCGTCGATGGCTCGACTGACGTGCTACTAGGGTGCTGCTGGTATCCTCCATCGCAAGTCTTGAAAGTAATCCGCAGTACTGGGGATTTAATCGAGAAAGCTTGGCGTTGTTTAGCATTTGCGACCTAGGTGAAGTTGATGAGCCTGGACTCGTTGAGTTAAGCAACTGCATAGATAGATTCAATCAACTTGATAATGAGGAATTGAGTATTCATTTCTAAATCGATATATTAGTAGTAAGAGGCCAGATGTGCTCGATGCTGCAAAGAGCCGTGGAAATAATGTGCGAATGCAAGCTCGGAAAGATGTCCGATAATGCGCTTTTCCGTCACTCAACGACGTGTGTAGGCACATACCTTGAGGTAGGTACCGAAATACTTACGCACGCCTCCCCGCCCGGGTCACGAAAGTAGGTACGCAGTATGTATGGTGCCTAGGTATCTGAGTTAGGTAGGTACTGATTTGCCGCCTCCTACCCAGCCCAGAGGCACACCTGCCCACCGACGGCCTGGCCGAGACTCCCCGCAAGCACGCTGCGCATCGGCCTAAGGTAGGCGGTCCACGGGCAACGTTTGGGACACTTAAGTGCCCTAGCTAATACCTACGTCGTAGCCTAGTCCCTACGTAGGCACCTTCGGGTAAAGGTAGTCCCCAAAGAGGCGACAGCAAATTAAGCAAAAACAACGACATCCCCTAGACCGCCTCTTTACACTCCGTTGCGTTGACAGCGTCCGCCCCCCCTTTTTGCCGAAATTACGCACGCATAATCCCTGTATATACATGAAAATTTGCCCAACGCCACGTAGATATTCGTAGTACGGCAATTGACCTATTCTGATGGCTTCAATTGATCTATTTCTATTGAATCTCATTATCTGAGGGCATCGTGATGCCTCCTAAACGCCGCCGCGCGGCTCGGCAGGCGGATGATGACCCTTCTGGGCATCGTCCGTCACCCATCGCCAACGGTACGCGGAAACAACGACGTATACAACAACTGGCACAGGACGCCGCCAGAGATCCTCCTCAACGCTCTGCCTCGCCGTCGATCAGGATCGTTACGCCCGCCGAGAGGGCTCGCCGGGCTGCCGCCGCCGAAGAGGCCGCCGAGGAGGCCGCCGAGGAGGTTATCGTCGCCGAGGCTGGACCCGAGACTAATGATTTGGTGGCGGCTGAGTCTACATCGCGAAGAAAGCGTGTACTTATAGCCCCTCCGTCATCACGAAGAGCTCCAAAAGCGTCCTCTCGCCAAAAAGCAACGACAACGCAGAGGAAGCGAAAGAAGGATCCGCCGCATACGATCCGGCTCCGAAGTACTCTGCCTTCGTCGATGCCACCGTTTCGACCAGACTCGACCCCAGTTAACCCAACCCCTCGTCAAACCACTCGATTTGCGGACGATACGCCTACGGCCCCTCGCCATAGCGCTGATGATACGTTTATGTCGTTCCACGATGTATTTGAAGAGGAGGACGATATGGGTAACGAGGAACCAACTCTGCTACAAATCCAGGTTACCCGTGGCCCAGCGCTCAAGGGTAACGGTTTACCTGTTCTCGATCTAACCATCGAGAGCATCGCGTATAACAGATTCAGTATTGCTCCTGTATTAGATGCGAATAGTAGAGACTGGGAGGCAGACAGCGGCGCCCAACTTGAGGCAGAAGTGGCTCACTCGTATATTGTGAAGAAGGCCAATATCGCTGTTGTCGTTGCTTGGAGGAAGCCCACCAACGCATCTAAACCAACACCAATCTTCACTCGGGTCTATCCGTCTACTGGAGGGGTCACTTGGCCAAGTATTCCATGGGTTGATATTGTCCCCTCTCTTGAACAAGCTGAAGAGAGGGGTGAAGTCCACCTCACCGTCAAGTGGCAATACAGCGCCGTACCAATCTCTGGTGGTATAGTGACTGGCGTACGAACGCCTCGAAAAGGTGGCCGAGCAGGCGTTTCAGCCGGCATGCAAGAGGCGATCGATCGTGAGGCTAACGATCCTGCAAACGTCGAGCGTCGGAAGGAGGGTATGCACAGACAACTTCTCCGTACGCACATCTGCCCAGAGTACCAGAGATGTAAGAATAGTTCGGGCGACGAGAAGTTCAACTGGTGCTATATACTAGGCCAGAAGCACTACAAGATCAAATCTCACCATATAGAGAAGTGGGCGAAGGCTATTATGACTGGACAGGCTGGCGTTGACAATATGGAACCACCTAAAGAACTGCTTGGTGAGATTCTTCACGACCAGTTTATAGAGGATCAGAAACGCCAGGGCAAGAGAAGTAAGAATATCGTGGAGGTTGATGATAACCAGGAGACGACAGTGATGACGGAAGAGAAGGCTGAAAATGCCGCACTTCCATCATCAGGGTCAAGATCTGGCCTAACCAACGCCAACAGCAACGCCATCGTCAATATATACGGCAACGCGGGGGCGCCAGATCGTCATCTTCAATATCCTAACCCATACGTACAGCTGCCGCCGCCGGCGCCGCCGCCGCCGGCATATTGGCCATATGCGAACATCTCACAGTATTCGTTGCCAACTCTTCCGCCATTGAACCTTCCAAGCACTCGTCAACCAAGTATCGCACTCCCGATTCGTTCGTCCTCGCCAGTGGTACCGGATTCGCCTCGAAAAGCTCTAGATCAAGTGGCCAGCTTCATCAAGTGGTTTATATCCGTCCGCGGCAAGCGATATAACGTCGACGAAGGGTTCAGAAAGAAGCTACAGAAACTGCGATCAGTAGACAGTAGCTTGCGGGCAATTCGCAAGTTACCAGATATTTGGTTTACTGAACAGGGTTTTACTCAAGATCTTACCGAAGATGTCAGGAACTCGATCAAATCCTTCATAGACAACAGCGCCTACTACGGAGGGCAGTCTGACGCCCTCTCCGACGTGGTATCTCACTCTGAACTTCATTCAAACCATCGAGAGTCAGAAGGAGATGTTTATACAAGAATATACGCTGGATTGCCAGGAGGGACGGCGGCGGCGCCAGTTGAAAACTCTGCGGCGCTAGTTTCAGGCGAGTTGGGGTCATCCCGACATATCGACGCCCTAGTGCCACGTC